AGAAAGAAAGAAAGAAAGAAAGAAAGAAAGAAAGAAAGAAAGAAAGAGAAAGAAAGAAAGAGGGAGAAAGAAAGAGGGAGAAAGAAAGAGAAAAAGTTAGAAAGAGGGAGGGAAGGAAGAAGGAGAGAAGGGAAAGTGAATGAGATATGGACGGATGGATAGAGGGAGGGAGAGAGGGAGAGAAAAAGGAGAGGAAGGAAGGTCCCCAAACCCTGGAGCTAGACAGCAGCTTCAGAGGATGCTTCAAAACAGCCCAGCCATCCAGGATCTGGAAGGGACCTCGGAGGTCATCTAGTCCAACCGACCTCCCTGGCTCCAAAGAGCATTGTTCAAGAACGTTTTCTCTCTTTGGGGCCAACCTGGTCCCCTGACTGCCTAGCCACGCCCCCACCCAATCACATGACCACCATGCCACGCCCAAAGAACCAGTTAAAAACAATTGCATCCCACCCAACCCCTCTCGCCAGCCCTGTCACAACTTGGTGGAGCGGGAGCCCTTCTACCAGCTGTGCCTGGAGGACGTCTGCAGCTGTTCAGCCGGGGACGACTGTCTTTGTGGTGCCCTGGCCGCCTATGCCCATCATTGTGCCCAGGAGGGAGCCCTCGTGGCCTGGAGGAACCAGAGCTTCTGCCGTAAGTGTCCCTGGAGCAGGGGGTATATACTTCTGTTCTCTTCCTTCCCTTCCTCACACCCTCCCTTCTTTTCTTTCCCCCCTTCTTCTTTTCTCCTTCCCTTTCCTCCCTCCCTTCTTTTCTTCCCTCCCTCCCTTCTTTTCCTCCCTTCTTCTTTTCTCCTTCCCCTTCTTCCCTTTCTCCCTCCCCCCTTCCTTTTCCTTCCTCCCTCCTTTCTTTTCCTCCCTCCCTTTCTTTTCCTCCCATCCTTGTTTCTTTTCCTCCTCCTTCTTTTCTCCTTCCCTTTCTTCCCTTTCTCCCTCCCTTCTTTTCCTCGCTCCCTCCCTTCTTTCTTTTCCTCCCTCCCTCCCTTCTTTCTTTTCCTTCCTTCTTCCCACCCTCCTTTCTTTTCCTCCCTTCTTCTTTTCTCCTTCCCTTTCTTCCCTCCCTCCTCCCTTCTTTTCCTCCCTTCCACTCTCCCTCCCTCCCTCCCTTCTTTCTTTCCCTTCCTTCCTTCTTCCTTCCTTCTTCTTTCTGGCTTCAGAGGGAAGAGGGGAACGATTCCACACAAAGAGTGGGTGAGCGTGCACCGCTCCATTTCCACGAGTGACAGGCGAGCCTGCCTGCTCACTCCCATCCATGAAGCTGCGCATGGAAGCACGAGTGCCTGCCGGTTGCGTGGCTCCGATTCTGAATTGGCCACGACCTGCGTGTTGTGGATCCCTGCTGTAGAACAGGGGTCACCAACCTTTCAGACCTCAGGGACCACCAAAGTCACCAGAGAACCGTGGGAACCCCCCCCAAAAAAAGTCTGCAGGAAAATCCCCCACCCCGTTTTCGTGGAGATCAATCATTCTTTATTTGGGATTGCAGGATTCCGTCTCCAGCTCCATTTTCGGGGGGGGGGGGAGAGAGAGAGAGAGAGAGAGACTTTTGGCTTCATGCAAGGAAAGCAGCAGAAGCTGCAGAAGTCTTTTCTTTCTCTCCCCCCAAACTCTGCCAGAAAAATTATCTGTGAGTCGGGTTGAGTTGGGTGGGGTGGGGTGGGGTGGGTCAGTTGGGTTGTCTGGGTTGGGTAGGTTGGGTTAGGTTAGGTTGGGTCAGTTCGGTTGGGCTGGGTTGGGTTGTGCTTAGGTGGGGGAGAACCTCTTGAACACATCTAAATTGTCTTCTTGACCACAGCATGCTCGTTGCCTTGGGATTTCCTGGTGGTCTCTTTTCCAAGCATGAGTCTACCAGTCTCTCTTTGGTACTCTGCTCCTGCCCCCTAACCAGCTCATCCCCTTGTAACGACACCTTGGCAGCATGTCCGCAGTGGGTATTCAAGATGGAATCCACACCCCGTGGCCTTTCTCTCTGTCTCTCTCCACAGCGGTGCAGTGCTCCGGGGGCCAGGTCTACCGAGAATGCACCACCCCCTGTGGAAGAACCTGCGCCGACCTCCCCGTGGGAAAAAATGGTGCCTGCGAGGACCTCCAGCCTGCTTGCGTGGCTGGGTGCAACTGCCCAGATGGCCTCGTGCTGGACCATGAAGGGCAGTGCATCCAGCCGGCCATGTGTCCTTGCCTCCACCGCGAGAAGGCTCACCCGCCCGGCAGCAGGATCCAGAGGAGTTGCAACAGCTGGTAGGTTGCAGGTGGGGTTCGAGGAGCATCCTGGGTTTGTTCCAGGGCTTCGGTCTGCATGGAGATCCCCTGAGGAGTGAGGCTTAAGTCTTGCTTAAATTGTGGTAACTGGCGGGGGCAGAAGGCAAAGGGAGACTTCTCAGAACTATGGAGCCAGAAGGAAATTCAGCGGTCCTGCTTTACACCGGTTTGTTCTGTCTTCAGGTCTTGGAGTAGGGAAGTCAGTCGCTCATATAGAAACAGAGAAACTACCTTAATAGCTGCAAGATGCTTCTACTTCTTCTTCTTCTTCCTCTCCCTCCTTTTCCTCTTCTTCCTCCAGGTTTCTATTCTTTTCCTTCTTCTTCCTCCTCCTCCTCCTCCTCCTCCTCTCCCCCTCCTTCTCTTCCTCTTTTTCCTCTTCTTCTGCCTCTTCTTCCTCCAGGTTTCTATTCTTCTTCTTCCTCCCACTTTCCCTCTCCCTCTCCCTCTTTTTCTTCCCCTCCTCCTTTCTATTCCTATTCACCCTCCTTCTCTTCCTCTTTTTCCTCTTTTCCTCTTCTTCTTCCTCCTCTTCCTCCAGGTTTCTCCTCCTCCTCCTTTTCTTCTTCTTCCTCCTCCTCCTCCTCGCTCTAGCTTTCTATTCCTCCCGCTTGTCCTCCTCCTTGTCTTCCTCTTTTTCCTCTTCTTCCTCTTCCTCCTCCTCTTCTTCCAGATTCTTCCTCCTCCTCCTCCTCCTCCTCCTCCTCC